TACTTATAATAAGACATTAACCTCCCGACAGTTTATAAAGGGAGCCTGTGCAGTGGGCGGACTAGGGGCGGATTTATAGAGGCACAGTTTCAAGCATCCCTACCCTCATTGCATTGTTTGGTTCTTGATTGTGCCTATAAATTATTTTTAGGTTATGTAATATTATTAGTATTATGTATTTGACATATCCTGAGTGTGCGTGTTAGAACAATTTGTTTAGCATTTAATTAATGCATATTTAAATAAGACGTTAAAAGCTGTGGTGACTTAAATGAAAATCGTCATCTGAAAAGATCAATAAATTACTCCTATTAGCTGAGTGAGAGGCCGCGATGCCCTGATGAAGTCTCACAACGTTTAAATCAAATTCAAAAACTTCACTTCCAGAGGGTAGGATTAAAGCTAGCAGTATAAGTGTTGGACCTTATGGAACAATGGTTTCAAGTAGCATGAAGACAAATCTAGTAAAACTTGCTATATCGTATTTCTCATAAAAAATCACAAGCATGGTCAGCATTGATGAAAGCAACCTTTAAATTAGGACATTATATATTTCAATAAAAAGTTTAAAGCAAAATTTCGTTATTTAATATGAAAAAGTGTGACTTTTATGTAAAATAAATAATGACCTTAAAAACACATAGAGTACACATACACATAACAAGGAATATGCATAGAAGTTCTTTAAATTCTCCAAAATCGTTATTGAACACCACGGTTCGTTGAATACAGGCAACTGTTACAGTCAGATAAATGTGTCTCAGGTTGTTCAAGTTGAAAACATACAAAAGGTGAAATAATGTTGAGACTTTTGGAAGTATTGTTATTTCAGTTTGGTACTTGTATATTGTAACGGAGTTGCATTCTTATACGAACATTATACACACCAAAAAGAAATAAAAATGTATGTAGTAGTAATTAGGGTTGTTGTCTTTCGCTCTACAGATATAGTATGGATAGTTTATCCACCAAAAAGAAATAAAATGTCGAGCTTTATCAGTTTAAACCTTTTAGTAATTTAGAAATACAAATAAAAAACTTAGAAAATCATAGTGATGTTAATTCATATAAACTTACAATTTGACAAATTATGTGATTGACCATTAAAACAACTATTTATTTAATCTATTACTTACATCTTTGAAACTGAAAATATTTAGGCACTATAGTTATTTGTCATTGGCACCGCTTATGCATTTTAGAATCATGGTTAGTATTAACTCAATACGTCTGTTGCTAAAGCAATATATTTAACCCTAGATCTGACAGCTGAGTTTTATTTTCTTAGTGTATTTATTGGGTTACTATGGAAATACTTTTGATTGTAAACTTATACTAAAAGAAAGAAAGTTGACACAAACTTAAACTCTTTATTTATTTAACTTATCCACGGAAATTACAATAACGTCTAGTCCTTATTTTACCGTCCAAACATTATTTTGGACTTATAAACATATTTATTCACATCTTACAACTTTTGTATGAATACACCCGTCACAGAAAACCTGCACTCTAGTGAATTTTAATTCTTCTCATTAGAATTTTACTAAAATATTTCCTTAAAAATGTAAGGATTTTTATTCCCTATGTACATTAAATATTACGTTTACCAATTATTAAGGTTTGCTGCTACAGGGAAGGGAAATAATAGTAAAACTGTATTAGTTTATTATGGTCTAATATGGAATAAGAAAATAATTTCCAAAAGTTTTAAAAATATATCCATAAACAAGCAAACCTTACAACAAGTTACCCATTCTTTTATTTATATTTACTATTAGTTCATTAGTACAAATTTCATAATTTCAAACGTTCATCTAATGTCCATTAAAAAGTTTTCATGTTCTAAATTATTTGATTTTAAGCTCTACTGTATGTCTGTAATGAATGTTGAAAATATTTATGTTTTATAGATAGTAAACGAAAAATATAATTTGTGATAAACTCAAAAAACTCTCATAACTTTGTCATGGGTGTACTTGGTTTTGTGCAGTAATTAGAATGAATCATCGATAATCTATACATTGGATTTAGTGCTTCATTTGTATGCCATCTCTGAGCCCTGCGTCGGATGGTAATTATTGACATCGATTAGTAAGGACACACATTAGAATGCCAAATATGTGTTAATTTGTGTTTGTGATGTATTTTGTCATAACTAGTGATTAACTAGTACTTTAATTTAGCATAGTTAGTAACCAAGCATTTATTAAAAGAGGAAATTACTGATTGTACACTATGCAACACCAAAACATCACATTTACAGTTATATTCAATCAGCTGTTTGCATTGTTGCATCGGTGTCATTAACAGCTGTTCATAAAGAGAGCGGAGAACGTCATTGCCGCTCGAGAACTGTAGATGGCCGCACGAAGCTTTAGCTGAGAACAAGATCCTACCTCCATAATTAATTACCGTTATGCCACTTTTTGGTTTTGGATACTATCAAAACATAATTCTAAGATGTAATTGGCTCTTTTGATTTAGTCTTCTCTTACTTCTGGTTAAAAATTTAGAAGATCTCAATAGTTATTTGTGTAACTAGTAAACAAAGGCCTTTTCACTCGTGTTACACATTATATTTTCCTACAGTCACTATAAAGCATATAAATAATTAGTCTTTCAAACACTATACAACACGTTTTTAGGTTAGGTTAAGCCGAAACCATGAACAGAATGGGAAATACTGCACCAGCTGATTGTAGTCGTAGTATCTTTAAGTGTTACTTATTTTCAAGAGTACAGGTATAAACAGTAATAATCAGTATAAACACATAATGAACAGGTAGATTGTTCTTCAAAATATGCCAATAAAACATTTTCTGACAGTTTTGTTTTTGTAACTTTCTTACTTACGCGCCAAGAGGAAAACAGTTCATATGCTCGTTTATACTTCTTTCTTGATTTTTCAGGTAACAGGTTTAATGAAACATGCTTTCAGTTTCTGCTGTGTCTGGTCTACCATTATATTCACAATCACTTTCACCGAGTTCATTATTTTTAAACATTTTAGGCCCACTTATAATTCATCATTCAAATACTACACTTCAGGTTATATTTAAACCAAGCGTTGAACGAAAAGAGAAAATAAACTATAAACACAAAATGACAGGTTAAATCGTAGTTATATTAGTCAATCAACTGATCATAGTATTATTATCTTTAATTGTTGCCAACCTATTTACAAGCGTACTCGGATTACGTGCATAGTAGAACTACGCTGTATTGTGATGTTTGGTCGGAATCCTGATGTGCGCCAAAGTATAAACCGTACGGCAAAGTATAAATATGCAGCAATTAGCAGCTTTCTGTACTATAAACAGTACAAGGAAGCCAACTTTGTCGGGTGACTGTAGGAAAAATATATTTTCATACAGTCACCCGACAAAGTTGGTTTGAAATTTGGTTGAAAGGTGTAAGGCGGGATAAACTTGAATGAGTTCGCGAACCAGCATGATCGGACCATGGGAACGGGGTTTTACGGGGGGTTTTATGGGGTAAAAAATGGTTTTTATAATTTTTGACCCTCAAAACACAAAATATATTAATTTATCTCTAAACCTTTTTAAAGGTCTTAAAAAAACAAATAATTTAGTATATCAAAGTGTTTTTTTACGGTTATTGGTAACGGAGAAAATTCAAAAAATTGTAAATTTAAAATTCCCATGTTATTCTTATGGAGAATAATGTAAAATGTCGTAGTTTGCTTGTTTATGGATATATTTTGATAACACTTGGCAAATTTATTTATTTTGTACTAAACTATTAATATTTTACTAAAAACCCCACTTCAACAGTTTCCTTGTAGCAGCAAACCTAGGGACTCGTTAAACCTAATGTCATTTAAATAGATTTAATTGAAAATCAATTCCGACAAATGGAAATTCGCTTAGTCGGCAGGTTTGCTGTGGCGGGGGTATTTTGTATTTTTTTGTGTTTGGTTATAACTAAATTATTCAAAATATTGGAAAGTAAAACGTTAAATAATCTGTAAAAACTTAACTGGCTGTTACTGTGAGTTCACTGTCACTCTGCATTGTAAAGTCTGCATAGTTTACTAGATTTGAAAGTGTAACGGATTCTCTAACAAAGCTTTAATTTGTTTGGTTTGCGATATATTGATTGTACACATAATAGTCTACAAAGCTGTATATGCTCCATAACATACAACTATAACATACAATTTAAAATACATCTAAAAACCCAGTAAATTAATGTTTCCTGTTACATCATCCGAGAAATTTGGACCACATTTACTACTCTGTAGTAGACCGTAGATTAAATTGACTATATTATGATATCATAAAGTGTCAAATGTATACTTATCAAGTTTTTGCAGCTCAAATAAATATAGGTATCGAAATAATGAAAATGAGATTTTAAATCCACTTTACAAAACCAAAAGAAACTGTAGCTCACCAATCTTTGTGGACAAAAATAATCAGTCAGAGTGTTTATATTTTTAATTTGTTTTAAATCTTATAAATAAATATACTGTACAATAAACAACTCCAATCCAACCATAAAATCTGTTAGGGACTATTAAGTGCCTTACTCAAGTTATCGAGCAGGGCTAAGTAAATAGCGTTACTGTTGTGATTTATATTGCATTACATTTATTGAGGCACAAAACTACCGTGAATGGAACACATTGCAGTGAATCAAGCGTATTAAAAACGAATCTTTAATCTAAAATTGTTTATTTTCTTGGTTCAAACTTAAAATATTTAATGTCTCGCCAACACCCTATGAACAATGCTTGTTTTGGTGGTTTATAGTCCTGTTGTCAAATAGTTAGTTGTTCAAGTTTAAAGTTAGTTAGTTTTATAAGATTAAAAGTTAGATAAAACTGAAATAAGTTGAGAGTTTGGTTCACAGTTTTTGTATTTTCATAGTAACAATTATAAGTTCAAAACAATAACAAATGAATTATAACCAGCTGGCATTTAATATATTAATTCAATCCATGCCTTTGGCACACTCCGGGCGAAGGACAAACACTAATAATTCTTCACTTCTAATGGATATAAGAGATTTAAGGGACGTACAACTTTCTTCTTCGAGCTGAGAATTACTGTAGCACTTCTTATTTTTCCGTCTCGACTTGAGTGAAGTTCTACCATCTTTCGCTTCTTCCATCTCCCACAAGGTGGGATTTTCTTCCAAACGTCCCAAGGTCCTTTCATAGGTGAACTCTCACTTTTAAAAGTAGTGTAAGGTCTTTTCTCTGCAATCATCTTCTTTAAGGCTCCACCTTTTTTGTCGAAATCAAAAAAGTGGCTTGTAGTAATCATGTCGTCTGTTACACATGATTCACTGAAGGATGTGTCAACAAGTGGTCTTGAGTTTATAACTGCCTCAGACTTCACGAGAACAGTTTCCGATTGTAAGTAGTTTATTCCAAAGTCTTTTTCAAATGGGGTTCCTACGATCTTGTTTATGGAGGCATCAGTTAGAATACCTATTTCTTCAGTTCCATTCTCCTCAGTCGGCTCTGCAGGGTTACATTTCCACTCTGGACATTTCATTATAGGCCTAACATTTTCCATTTTTACCTTATCATTAAATCCACACAAAGCTATGGCGTCATCATTCTGATAGGGATAGTCGTGGATTTCTAAATTCTCTATGCTCCGCAAGTTCCTTACATTCAAACCCTTTACTGTCTGAGAGTCAGGCGTTTCAAAGTTCTTCTTCATTTCAAAATGGTTAGTGGGTTGAATTATAGTGTGAAAGGAGGATGAATATCCAAGGTGATGATGAATGTCCGTTTTCTCACTTAATGCTTGTCTACCGCTTACAATCCAACCAACTTTGGAACCGATCAGATAAAGACCAGACTTTAACTCTATTCTTTCATATGTCATAATATCTAGGTAATAATCATTCCCAATTAAAAGATCGACTTCAGAATCTTCATTCTGGTTTTTGGCAAAGTTCAATGAGGGGTAGAGTTTCTTGATTTTACTGACATCAATTGTAGTGCAAGCATGAAGTTTTCCGGTAATTTTTGGTACGACATTACAGTTAACCTTAAGTAAGTTACCATCAAGTAGTTTAATACCGGCAGTAACAGTTTGGGTTTCAATGGTCTTAGCTTCTGTATTACCAAAGGAAAAAACTGATAAAGATTGTGTATTATTGCACTCAAGTTTAAGTTTTTTAGCAAGATCCTTTGAAATATACGACCTCTGACTTCCAGTGTCAAACAGAACTCGAGCAGGTTCGGACAAGTCATCATTCACAACATATACTTTTGCAGTTTGTAAAATTGCATTTTCGTTTGCCGAAATCAGGGAAGTTTCTTTAGAAAAAATAGAGTTAGCAGAAGAGGATTCAGTACTTTTAGTGTTTTGAAGGAATCGTTTGGGACAGAGACTCCTATGATGGTTTGTCCTCTGTTTACAATATACACAAGGTTTGCTTACCTTACAATCTTTTAAGTTGTGGCCACTCTTCAGGCAAATAAAACAGAGACCTTTAACCTTACTTTTTCTTTCTTCTAAAGTTTTGAACTTCTGGCATTGGTCGTTCCAGTGGTCGTCTTTGCAGAAAATACAGGTTGCAGTTCTGTTTTCGGTTGAAGGGAGGGCCTGTGTAGTTGAAAAACTACCTTTTTCTGAGCTACGAAAGTAGTGTCCGTTTTCTGATGGTGGGATGGAAGTTTTTGTTGATCCAAAACCTAATAAAAGTTGTGACTTTTCTCTAGCTACGATTATATTTCTTACTATACTACATAATTTAGTGGCATCAAGAGTATTATCAACGTTGTTTTCCTCTACTTTTATGACTATATCCAGAGGAAGTTTCCTCATAATCAGAGAAAAAAAGAAATTCGAGTTGGTATCTTCGCCTAAGTTTTGTAGACACCTGATGTGTTTGTCAATAACATCGAATAAGTTCCTAAGTTTTCCAGTGTCGTTCGATTTTAAGGGACTTAAGTCCATCAAGGCTTTGTAATGCGAATTGATTATGAGTTGTTTGTTAGCAAATCTTTCTTGGAGTAAAGAAATGGCAACGTCATAATTGTCAGCAGTTAAGATCAGTTACGTGTGGATCGTTGCAGCTCTGCTACCATGTCAAATAGTTAGTTGTTCAAGTTTAAAGTTAGTTAGTTTTATAAGATTAAAAGTTAGATAAAACTGAAATAAGTTGAGAGTTTGGTTCACAGTTTTTGTATTTTCATAGTAACAATTATAAGTTCAAAACAATAACAAATGAATTATAACCAGCTGGCATTTAATATATTAATTCAATCCATGCCTTTGGCACACCTGTTGTAATAAGACGGAAATTTTAAGTTTCCAAATCTCTTTTTTTTTAACAAGGTATTCTTAAAGAAACAAAGAAATGGTTTTATTCATTATATTTTTGTTTAGATGAATATAAGTATATAAGGCACTTAGAAGATAATAGATACTTAACTAACAGATAAGGATGGGTTTTCTTGATTTGTGTATTTAGATTACCTTTTTTGTATATGAACCCATGTGCTTTTTCTGGAGGTTTCCATTTTGGTCGGATGCTGCTCTACAAGTTATTGTCTTCTTGGCAACTAATTTTCCTCCTCGTTGCTTTAAACCAACCCTTTATCCTGTAAACAACCTAAGGTGGCATCATACTTCTATCCAAGCCTTTTTTAAACACACGCTTATAAAGTTATAATTTTATTAAACATCTTGCCTTTCATTTATGTAAATGTTTATTTATAACGTATCATTATTGATTGCTCCAGATTGCCTGCTCTGCTTGTATTGAAAATTATGGTATAATTTGGCAGTGTGCATTTGAAATAGTGTGTAAATCGAAATAAGGAATGTTTTCACTAGAGTCCAGACATTACGGTATGTTAGATCGATTTTAAGTTACTTTGGGCCTTGATATTTACTAATCTACAAAACATGTCAAAACTCCATTCTTTTCATACCATCCTAAATCGGTTTTAACTTTTCACTATAGTTGACATTTATTATTATAATTTTGAACAAATATCTAAAAGGATGAATATGACCAAAGTAAAACTATATTTAACATAAAAACTTTCATACCTACTTGTTACAACCTGGTTTATGTATTGCAAGAGAACCAAACTTTATAATAAATCTATTTAGAGTATTGCCAAATGTAATACGTTAGAGTTACCTGTTAATTACTAAAAGAGCATTCCATTTTAACAAAATGGTTGAAATGGGTTTCGATGGGTTTGATAAAAATCGACATTTTACCATGGGCATTTTGAAAGCAAAAACACATCGGGTGAAACCGACATCCCTGTTAAAACATTAACTACACCGACATCGGTGGGTTTACATATGGAGTGTGGAAGCTTGTGTCGCATTTTATTTCCAACAAAATAAATGTGGGCGATTTATTACAATATATAACTCAGGTCCGTAATCTCAATCAATTTGATCTTGATAAACATATTCAATTTTAATTAGCATTCAATTTCAATTTTAGTATAGTGGGGTATGAAATACAAATAGCGAAACCTTGAGACAGGTTACTATTTTAACTAAACAATCGTTTAATAGTTAGCATTATAATATTTGGAACTAGTTCAATAAATGGATAATCAAATTTTCATAATGTTTGTATGATAAATTGCTACATACATATGACAAATTGTAGCATAAAAAAAATAATTGCACATTTCATGTTAATCTCTGCATATACATGTATACATTAGTGAGTTATTTGTTATTACAATTGTTATGAGTAGTGTTAGTAAACATTTAAATCAATGTGGTACATCAACAGTGAACATGGAATGGACATTAAGGCTAAGTTTTAACAAAATAGGCTAGTTGTTGGTCTTTTTAGCCATAAAATATTTAAATACCCCCGCCGCAGCAAACCTGCCGACTAAGCGAATTTCCATTTGTCTGAATTGATTTTCAGTTAAATATATTTTAATAACATTAGGTTTAACGAGTACCTAGGTTTGCTGCTACAAGGAAACTAATAAAGTGTGTTTTTGAGTAAAATATTGATAGCTTAGTACAAAATAAATAAATTTGCCAAGTTTGATCAAAATATATTCATAAACAAGCAAACTACAACATTTGACAATATTCTCCATAAGAATAACATGGGAATTTAAAATTTAAAATTTTTTTAATTTTCTCCGTTACTAATAATTGAACAAAAATACTTTTATATACTAAATTATTTGTTTTTTTAAGCTCTTTAAAAAGGCCTAAAGAGAAATTGGGAAATTTTGTGTTTTGAGGGTCAAAAGTGAGAAAAACCAATTTTTACCCCATAAAACCCCCCGTAAAGCCCCGTTCCCATGGTCCGATCGTGCTGGTTCGCGAACTCATTCAAGTTTATCCCGCTTTACACCTTTAAACCAAATTTCATCAAAATCGGACAAAAATTACTCAAGTTATCGCGTTCACGGACGTATATATATATATATATATATATATGTCTATATATATATATATACATATATAAAAATTTGAACGAATAGTGTTTTTGGCCTCTGGGGACATCAAAATGAAAAAGTAAATCGGTCCCGGGTCTAGGTCTTACCGTGCCACCTACGGTAATAGCTACTTCCCTATAGGGAAATTCGCTAAAACTTGTCGATTGATGTATTAAATAATTTAAACTTTGTATACCATACTTATTCCTTCTCGTAAATCTTGTTGTAATTTCCTAATATTTATACAGTTTTTAAAAGGAAAGTTCCCTATAAAAATCAGCTGTTCCATCCCAGGACAGATTAGCAAATGTTAGCAGTGGTAACACTGTTACAATATTTAAACAAGTTTAAGTAAATATTGTCACTTTTCTGCTAGCCTCCTCCAGAGAATAATTAATTTCCTTTCATTGTAAGGGCTCAAGAGATGTAGGGCTAGTGCCCACAGTCTTTATAACAATATATTTCTAAAATATATTGTCTTGTGTTATAATAATTATCAAATCAAGACGTTATTATCTTATCTCCATACTACCTTTTTTAAATTAATATTAATTCCTTTCCTATGATGTATTTAAAAAAGATAAGCAAAGTTAAACACTTTTTATCAAATATATTTCTAATATCTTGATTTATTACAAGTTTGTGTATAAATGTAGGAATAACACAATGTGTCTCTGTGTTGTATGTACATAGATACAGAAATGTTTCCGGTGCAGCGATGAAGAAAATTAGTTACCAGAAAGCCAATACTTGTACCACAACAACCGACCGTAGCGTAAACCAACTTTCCAACAAGCATAATTTGCTTGGAAGCTTTTAACTTAATCCGGAATTTAAACACAACAGACCGTGTTGCATTTTTCCCTTACATTTTATTTATTTGAATTTTTGTTGTTGTAGAGTTTTTCAATCAGTTCTAATACTCAACTTTTACTGATTTTTCTTATCACATGGTGTTCTTGTTATGGGGGTTCTCAATTAATTCAGAAAATACTCTCTTTATTACATAGTTGTACATGTTTAACATATATTTTTATTTTCATATAGGAAACTCTATAGCTTAATGATCAATCTATACCACTAGATCACATAATATCTAAAAGTCATTGGTCCTTGACGAGGTTTGAATCCGTAACTCCAGGGCTGAATTCCAGCACTCTACCCCGTAGTTTCAGGAACACCCCTAAATCATTATAATTTGTGATGTGCTGTAATTGATGAATTGTCATTAAATTAGAAAAATCTTAATAGTCAATCAAATTCAAACATTCAACTATGTAAACGAAATTGGTTGCTTTGGGTTTATAATATATGTTACTTTTACTCCTTACTATGAATACATGTATTTAGGAACTATTGCTTTACGACAAAATACATCTAATCTGTTATAACTAGTGTGTAAATTAAGTATGGAAACAAATCTGTATTTTTAAAACC